AAAGGCGCCGCGAGCAAGAGGGTACAAACTATTTACCCCAGACAATGTCCTGGAAACAAGAGTTGCTCCTACTTTGTTCCGTTTACAACAAGAATGGCACATTCTGGCGTACTCCGTATATAGAGAGTCGTTTTGCAAAGTTTACTGATCATTTTAGCTACCCATTACCTGTCGGTGCGGCTGATCTATGCTGAGAAGCACTGAACCTTTGATTATTTCTTCATGGGGATCATCAACATTACGAACCTCACGAACGCGCGATCTGCCGACCAGTAGATGGGTACTTACTGTTCGACCACGAGCGGTTGGACAGCAGTGGGATTGGCTTCCGCTCAGACAGGGTACAGAGCCACCTATTCTTCAAACACAGAAACCACATCACTTGCTCACGTACTGACTGGCTATTCGGATGAAAACGTCTCAAATGAAAATTTCGGTCATGTTGTGAAAGTAGCTTTTCCTCCGATTCACATGCAGATTGGTGGCTTCTAGTTGAACGATAAAACGTTCAAGAAAAGTAAAAAATTTTAGGATGGTTTTCAGTCGGTCCAATAAAACATAGGAAATCAAAACCTAAGATTCAAGCATACGATGACGTTAGCGCGCTAATGTTCAATCATCCGATAATAATGAACCTGCCACGCCCAGAAAAATGCGAACGGTTGAAAATCCGAACGCGCCACTCGTAGTTCGAGTTTACCCATGTGAGTGGGGTGTGAAAAACAATAGACCAGCAGATTCGCTGATTGGTCGGGAAACTGCAACGAAAGCTGAAAACCAGGCGGCATTTAACCGAAAGTTTTTTTTCCACTCGACTTTAATTGTTCGAAAAACAGTCGGTTCTAACGAGCTAAACAATCTTACGTGAAAATACACATTCTGGTGATTAGTTGCTGAAACATCCGGTCGCTGAGAAACAAGTGGAGAGACTTGAACACATGGACCAACTACTGTGAAGCGAAATGAAGCACTTCTTATATCCGTAAACACAACGTCTACACTAACTAAATTTCCCATTAAACCGGCGTGAAAATCAGCGAAAAACCTAGACGTATTATAAGAAATTCGTCTAAAATATCTGACACCAAACATGAGTAAATTCATAAAGGAAACTACTCAAGAGGTTGCTGAAAACTCCTTGACAGCAACCTTGTGAGTAGTTTCCTTTACGAAAATATACTGCGATATTTCGAATATCGTGCCAACTGAATCATGTGGCGGCCTGTGTGCAGCACATTCAGTTGTAAAATATCATAAACGAGAGATTCACTTGAATCTCTCGTGAAAACCAAATTGATTTGCAACTGTGTATTTCTTGAGTAAATTCATGTTTGATTAGGATACGCAAACCAGAAACAAAGTACTGTTTCGCGAACTCGTTAGCTCTGCAGTTCCTGTCTTAGATATGCCAACAGCTGAGGCGGGCCAGCTCATTGGAAACGATCCCCATTTTATGGCACTCAGGCAGAGTTCCAAGAAAGTGGAGGGTCACGATTCTGCTGGATCATCATCATCATCGACAGCATGACACCAGTGTTCAACACCGATGCTTCACTGCCGTACAACCATGACTTATTTGAAAGCCTTATTGTAAAGAAAAGAGTAAAGGTGGACGGGGGAGGGACTTAATGCTGGCTTAACACAAACATTCCGAGGTGCCTATACCTCCAGACATTCAGTCAGGAAATCTGGATAGTAACTGACAACAAGAACGCCACTGATATCGGTTGGGAGCAATATCTCCAACCAGGCACAGTGAGGATCACGCGGTCCCCATCCGGGAAGGCGAGTGGCACCGACAGCACCCAAGCGTTTCGTGATCTCCTTCATACTCCTCTGCCAAGTCAAGGGTTGGCCACCTCTCTGCTTCCGCCACTCTAAGTTGGGCATGGATTCTGCTGGATATACAACCCTTGGTGCGTTTATCTTCAATTGTGTACCTAACTTTCACTAGACTTAATTTCAGTCATGTTTGAACTGCCTCCTCTCAAGCTTTAATGAGCCACACAGTTCTGCAGCTTTGTAATGAGGCATTGGCGTTTTGAGATGTTAGTGAAAAGAGCATATTCCATTTCCTTCGGCCTGCAGGCAATAGCGGTTGATATTTACACACAATACAAAGTAAGCAAACATTAACCCAGGCTAAGGGAGCCTGTAAGTCTTTAAGCGGACAGTGTAATCCCAACATTTCACGTCATCCAATACGTTCAATGGTGCCACGCAATCTGTTTGAATGACGGTGAAAGCAGCTGATTTGGTGAAAAAAATCAACGGCCGCGTTGCTTACAACTGTATCATTAAAAACTGCACTGTGTTAGCAAGAGACCTCCTACAGACCCAGTATAGTGCAACGTTCTCACCTTCCCCCAGCTTTGAGAACCTGAGACAGGGGTTAAAGGAACACTGATAAAAATTATTACCGGAGAGTAGTGGTATCTGGATCCAAAGCAGTTTTCAAGACAAGTGTTCGTCCAATTGGTTAGCAATTATTAGATATCATGTATTTTCAGGCTGGAGATGATATTCGAGCCACAAAATGTTGGCTGATTAGCAGAACGAAGCGGAACAAAAAACAAGACCCTTTAGCCAATGCGGGAGACGAGCTCGCATTTACAATATCGGACCCGTATAGATAGTTCCGATGTCTTCCGAAGCAACCTACCCGATCTGATAGGCATTGCCATCGCTGCCAGCGAGCCGTCTCCACATCTAGGTCAGTTCAGAAGATGGCACGCACTTTCTAGCTTGCCATCGGGCGACTTTCACTGAGGTGATCTTGATTACGGAGCATCATCGTATGCTTCCATAGTGCACTCCCCAGCCGACTGTTGAACCAAGTTGGACAACTCACATGATTCGCGACGCAACACAATGTTCATTGGGTTGCTGAAAACTCTTCGAAAGCCCGGTTTCTTTGGGTTCACCAGATAGGTTTGGTACCGAGTTTCGATAAACCCTATGTTCTAGTTGAACACAAATTGGACGGATTTCTACAAATACTCTCATTTGGGCACGAACCAAACCATCTTATTAAACTGAGTCTCCTATCAAGACCACATTCTTGTGCAAGTAAGAATTTTCGGGGAAACTCACATGAGCATTTGCATTCGGGTGGGTGCTACCGAAGATTTTCACGGTCTCGAAGGAACAACCACACTTTAACGACAGAGTCAAGAGCATTCTTCGGCTAATCCCGGATGTATTACTCGCTGTTGGATACGAACTCAAATTCATGAAGTTTTGGATTAGTATGAATAACCATAGGAGTTTTCGCGAAATTTGGGTCAACTCGATCAACTTCGTAATGAGCACAGGGCAGATATTTCAAAGCAACAGAATATCACTTAACTACTCACCAGTAACAAGGACGTAGATGCTAGTGCGACTCACCATCTGTGAATCAATCCCATGGTTCACATTGGAGCAGAAATCCACAATGATGCATAAACAAGGCAATCATTGGGTAGGGGGTACCAAGAAAAGTAAGGCGACTTTTATGTTACTTCATCGTTGTCAGTAGTAAAAATGCTCGTCCGCATTACAAGTCCCGTCGATGAAAACGGAAACTGTGGTGACAGCCTCCAAGCTTCTGATGGCCGTTGAAAATCTGTTCAAAAAGTCAGTTGTAGACTTCGCCTAGGTGACTAGTGTAGAGTAGACCGGAATTCGCTAGTTGAAATGATTTCCTAAAAGTCCACTTGCGGATGGCCTGACAGGTAACGAGAGGTTTTGGTGTATTACGGGCATATTCTGAAGCACAATTTAGCATTACGAATTACTGTTGGCTAAACTGTATCACGAGTGAAACAAATGATTAGAGTTAAAGTTAAATCCCACAAAAGGTGTTTCGAGTATCGCTCAGGGGGGGGGGGGAACTGTCCGGTCTCCGCCGCATTCCTTTCAGAAGCTTCCCAAGAGTGAAGAACTGTACCACTCTACCCATGGGAATTTCAGAATTGCAACTGGGTAGTGTGACTGTTTTTCCATAATCTGTTCTTATTAGGAACCTAAGCGAACAGTGGTTATGGACGCTTAAGGAAACCGGTGGGAATATCACAATGTCATAAGATGCGATGACACAATTGCGACTGTTCCACTCCTAATCCACGTCCAATGGTCAAGTAGAACGTTCGAGTGCTACCCATAAAAGTTAATGAACGAGGACCATAAGAAGAGATATCTCAGCAGTCCCGTGAAGATTAAAACCATGGTGGACATCTGGTGAAGTACTATGATGCTGTGATATAGCAGTGAAGTCATGAACGCACCGAAACAACGTACGTATTTCGCGCCTCTGGATTACTTAAAAAGGGTCGGTAATAACTCAGGCTTCTGCAGGCCAAATCCAAACTGTGGTTGGAAAGGGTGGTGTCCAGATGTAGGATATCATGCCTACTGGAGGACCTAGGGTGAACCAGCAACGGACCACAAGAAAGCGTGCCTCGATTGGTCGAAATACAGATCAAGTCTTTCTCGCCCAGTCACGACTTTATTCAAATCATGTGGAAGATTTTGTTTTGTTGCAGGAATTTAGCCACTCTGTTTAATCCTATTACCGGTGATCGCAGGCGACCTACGTTTTAGTACATCACAGCGGGTGGAGCAGTGAGCCACGGATGAAAAGGCCATAAATTAATTAATACCCTCGTGTGGGGATGATAAACACAACCACTCAGCAGTAGCACCCTTTCGGTGCCTAGCTGCCATGCCACCCGAAAGAAGCACGAGGGCTGGAATGCTGACATGTTGCCCAAGCCTAGAAGTCGAGAGGTAGAGGTCGGGTTCGAACCACGGACCTTCTGGACAGTAAATTCGCGCTCTAACCACTGGATGATTAAGTCGTGAACGATTTCAAACTTTCCAGTGAAAATAACATATAGCAGGGTTTTTTCCCTACCGCTTTTCCTACTCACCGTTAACATGCAAACCTAGCCAACGTGATGCTCTCGTTGGTACCTTGTTACATCAATTCTCTGACCTTTGCGTAGATATTATGAAGTATGAATGGAGTAGTGGATTGTTACACGATAAAACCCAAGGAACCAGCGGATCGGTTTGGTATCGAAAGGAGGCGGGTTAGTAAAGTAGTCATTGGTAAACGCCTCGGTACGGGAGAACTATAATCAGGAGGATGATGCAGCGCACAAGGAGGCACAACATATCACCAGTCAGTAGTCAGGTCTGTCCATAGTTTGTAAATTTCCCGAAGATGTTCCTAGTGCCTGCCGGCAGCGCGTGTTAAAGAAAGCCCTTATTAATGCGAACAACAGCCGATTGTTCATGATTACGTCTCAAAAGAGCATTACTGCGAGTTTTAGATGCATGAGGATCACAAATTTGGGGCTTCTACAGAGGTGGTCCCTAAGCGTAGGAATGAAATCCCTTCCGAAGGAATCACTATACTTTATTTTGTCTCTTCTGTGTGTGCAACTGAAGGTTCTTGAAAGTTAAAATGGTCTTAACGAGAGACCTGAACGAACCGGTAATTTGTAATTCGTTAATCAAGCACAACTTGATGTTCAGATAGGAATACTTGATAGCGACTACGTACCTACCTTATTTACCTCAAAGACGGCGAAATCAAAAGTGGGCTTTTCAGAGACCTTATGAGAGGTATATTAAGTTCTCTTCTCATGCGTTTATCACTATATTGAACGGAAGCCGGTGTCGCTACAACCCAGCACACTGGGTTTGTAGTCACGCCGCCCTACAGAGAGGTGAGAATTGTGTAACGGATATGTATGCTTACGCACGTATTCATGACGAGGACGAAAAGCGAAACGGTATGAGCTGAATCGCTTTCAGGTTGGCCGACTAAGGCTGACGATAGGCCAACGTTGATCTATTTGTAATTATACCCTGCAGAAAAAGTTGCCCCAACGAATAGCTAGCTCTGAAAACGGTGAATGTGTAACAGTATTGTAATAAGTCTCACGCTGCGTCCTGTTTGCAAGAGTTTGAATTCCCTTTCTTCGCATTCATAGACAACTAGTTGCAGCTCCTCGTGTACCGATGACCCGGAGGTAGATCTCAATCCTCCCCCTGTTGCGATGCCCAGAAAGCCTTCCACGAGGAAACGAGCAACCGGGTCCATGCAGCGGAAAGATGAACACAGAAGTCAATCACAACCAACTGAAGGGACCACAAATAGTGAAGTCGAAAAGGTAAGCAATCCCTGCACAGTAACATTGAGAACACTCCCGGGACAATAAGTAAGCCGATCGAACGATAGTCCTCTGTCCCATTCATAGACACTAATACTCGCTTTTCCGAATATAGCACAGGAACTAAGAAAAAACACTCAGAAAGTTCAGGCAACAGTTAGCCGTCCCACGCACCTATGGGGATGCGCTACCGGTCGTTGTTAGGAGCGACTAAGGCAGTTATCAGAGAAGCCATCGAACAAACCATAAGTACCAATAAAAGTATTGTTTCATTTAGAACACACTGTTCTGAGTAGTTTCTACACAGCCTTCAGTGGGATATTCTAATCCACCAGAGATGACAGAACAAACTGAGGCAGCCATGTGGAGAAATGAAGTGCCGTTCAACCACCAACTCTATCACACTGAACAGTGTGCACTCCGCTTATATAACTACTGAGGATGTTTTCATGAGAACTCTGATTTCTCGCCTTGTTCATTTCATGTCATCTGTGACCAAGGTTAAGATTTAGTGTGCACTGCTAGTGTACTGTCTTCAGAAGGAATTTATGGCCTGCCATTTATGTCAGATCCTACTACCGAAGTTGGTATCATAAGTGACCAACGCGAGGGACGACGGAATAGAACGCGGTTCCGAATCACAGAAGAGATACACGTAAGACAACACATTCGAACAAACGTTCCGCGCCAACCTAAGGACAGACAACTTCGGCGATGCCGCTGCGGAGAGGCGTTCAGGAAAGTCGCTGCTACGTCTGTCACAGATTTCAACATAAGCAGAAAAGATCTGCAAGCTGGTGCGGTACCTCACACCGAATGCATGCAAGAGATCTCCAAAGGTAGTGGAAAGTACACAGAAACTAGTACATCAACGACAGCAGGTCCAAATGAACTGACAGTATGCTGCACAAGCACCAACAACTATTAAAGCCTCATTACTGCGAGCTAAGTTTAGTGAGCATTGGTCGAAGTTGTGCGCTATATCAGGTCATGACTGGGTCGCATTACTGGATAGCAGCTCCCGATAATTTTGTACGTTTCCCTGGAGTTGTGTGAACATTACCGCCCCAATTAGGCTAAATTGCGAAAGCGCTAGTGGAGTGCGGACACTTCAAACCTCCAAGTAGTAAACCGATGGATGAAGAACACATTGTGAAAGTTTGGTTTCGATTATACAAGGCTGCAAAGGGGCCTAGAACATGTCCTGCATAGGAACGTACGGGCCAGGGATCGATTAGCCTAGCAGACTTTTCACCTTAGACTTCTGAACTTAATCTCATTGTGATCAACAACTTAACCAGAGGCAGTTCAGGAGATATGGTAAAATAATCTTTTTAACTTGCTTTACAGCGAACCCCGAGTCAACCAAAAATGCGTGACCGACGAATGCATTCCCTAGCCGGACGACTAATATCCACGAAGTCACCGAACCCATCACTACCTGTTGGATCGCTGAAGAGATCTAAGAGTGTGGACAGTTCCGCAAGACGGTCTTCAAGACCAAAACCCGGATGTCCAGAAGGCACACTGGCGGTGCGCGCACACACCGACGCCAATTCTGATTATCAACGACCGTTCCATGAGGAACGACAGAATCCTGTTGCAAGGTTAAGGCTCCAAGGTCGATTCATTCCGTCCAGTGGAAATTCCAATTTCTACACGAACACCAAACAACCGACGCTGCACACGGCGAGGCGCATGGTCTCAAGAAAACCCAAAGAACACATAGACTACACGAGACAAAGTGCGGAAAAAAGGAGCTACTGTTGTTGCAGTTAATCCACGATGACAAGAACCTACCTGCCATGTACATTGATAAAGTAGACGAATGGCTGTCTGAACCTATCACGAATTAAAAAAAAAATCCATGTAAACAGAATAAATTACCAATCACCTATTTCAAGCACCATAAAAGATGCCTGTCCGTGTTGTCGTGGCTATGTAAACTGAATTTCAGTGCGCGCTTTAGTGAATTCAATGGCTGTCTAACCTATCACGAATTAAAAAAACAATCCATGTAAACAGAATAAATTACCAATCACCTATTTCAAGCACCATAAAAGATGCCTGTCCGTGTTGTCGTGGCTATGTAAACTGAATTTCAGTGCGCGCTTTAGTGAATTCAATTGAGCCTTACTGAGTGCCAGTTACATTGGACTCATCCGCCATTTCAATATGGGATCCAACCAGAGGACCGCAATGAGAAGCGTATGGTTTGAACTAGAGTAAAACCGAATCAGTGAATAGACCATATCCGAAAGAATCGAGCAGATAGGAAGCAAAGCATACTCGACCACGGCTTCCGACTTTCTCAACACAACCCACAAATTCACTGTGATTTGAACTTGCCGCGAACTCATGCACTTAGTGTAGCTCACGCACGGCACAGTTAAATACCAGAGGTAGATATGAGTAACGAGTTTGGAGACACGCAGTACGTTCTGGTTTGCTAAACCATCCAAAAATGACCCGTTCATAATAAGAAGAGCTGTATCCGGATCCAAAGTTCATTCGGTAGAGGCATTTGTCGCGGATGATCAGAAAATGGGGTTGCCAAAAGTGCCAAAAGGTACAACAGAACCGCGATCACTGGCGAGGTTTGGACGGGGGAAATTGGGAAAACGAGGAGGATCAATTGGGGAGGCGCGGTACCCAGTGACGTCCGATGGCCTCTGATGGGCGTCATGAGCACGACGGACCGAAAGCGGCGTACGGGGCTCTTACTACTCCTCGGTGTTTTTTCGTAGAACCTCTTTGACTGTGCTGACCAAAAATTCCAACTCCTCCTCCATCTGTTGCTCTCCATCGAGAGCATTTTCGTTACCTGAAAACCAAGCGAGAATGATGCAAAATCAAAATCAACAGATGCGGCAGAGGAAACGGTCTAGCCTTCCAGAATAAGGTTGGACCAGGTTTTTGAAACCAACGAGGTGTTTATGCCGTAACAGTAGCATCTATGGTAACCGTTTTCGACGGAAACCGTCAGTGACCACCTATTACGCTTAACATTAAAACTCATATTTGAAATGCTGGATGCCTCTAACGCAATCTGCAAAAACATCCATGAGAAACAGAATGGTAGTCCCGCCAGTTATAGAAAGAAAACACAGTCGTATATAAGAATAGTCAGTTAGAGCTAATTCCGAAGTAATTTGATACAAGTCGAAGTTCATCGATTGCACGACAAGTCATACCAAAGTTAACCCTGTTCATGCTTTCCGCAAGGTATCACTCGGCAGGAACCGGAAAGCCTCGGCATTCAGCTAAGGGACACCCGACAAAACACAAAAATCTAAATTATTATGCACAAAACGTTTTGGTTCAAGCGATCAGAGCACTCAGGAAACGATGCTACCCTACCATCAGCCCACGATTATGCGATTCAAAGTTGCATACTTGATAATTTGCTTTTGGGCTAAAAGTGGGGAAGATAAAACGTTTACGATTGACGTACACTATCGGAAAGTTGACATCCAGCCAATTACGTATGCGAGTATCGAGTATCATATATATCAGTTGCAACGCAGGGTGAACAAGCTTAGAAGGGACCATCCTGAACGCATGCCTAGAATGCGAACCCATTCTGGATGGTCTATCAAAAGCAACACCAGCTAGTCAAGTTGAAAAAAGTAGCGCCAGTGGAGTGCATGGTGAACAGAGTAAGTGCAAGACAAATACGCTAAACTTCTTTCGTACAACAGCCAACAATAATGTGTTCAGCAGTGGCACCCTTTAGGTGCCCACTGCCATGCCACCTAAAGAAAGGGTTGAGAAACTGATATATTGTCCAAGCCTAGACAGAAGTAATCGGGATGCCGGAGTTGGGTTCGAATCACAGACCTTTCGATTAGTCAATTCTCACATTAATTATTGATCTACCTCCAGTCGACGAGATGGATTATCTAGATATAAAATGCTAACATGTGAGCTACTATCCAAGGGAGGAGATCAAAGATCATACTGACCTCGTAATTCCATACGTTCTTGCTTCTCCGAATTGAACTGTTTGATAAGTGCATTCTTCCAAAGATTGAATTCGGATACCATACGTTGTCGTTTCTCCAACAACTCCCGACTGGCCTTCGAGGCAAGCATGCGGTCCTCATTGGCAAAGTGATTGTTGTACTTCTGCATGTTTTTCTTCAAAGCCTGTAGGGAAGGAGAAAAATCGCGCGCCGAGATTCACAGTAAACTCCGTAGAAGTAGTGACGGTCAACCGAAAGTTCAATTAAATTGATTTAAGCCACGTCATTTCGTTCTGAATGACGAGGAACCGCGACAAGAAGGCCAGGACGTGAAGAGTTACATTTGAGCTGTGTCCCTAGGGAGAAATGTTGCCTATCTAAAATTTTGATGGAGATGGGAAAATGCAAGCCAAATACACCTCAGTTGCACGTTTCTTGTAGGGTTTGCAAATGTAGCTCAGACTGCACCAATCATTGCTCTCCTTTTTGCTCAATTATGCGAGCAACTCACCTTACCGGGCGAGGTGAAATTACCATCCAATAGTGACACTTAAACAAGTTTTGCTATCACCAATAGTTCAGGTAGAGCAACACTGCCATAAAACCGTAAAGCTAACTGTTGTATAAGCTCTGAGGTACAAAGATGGCGCTTACGTCTACAGGAAAGCTGACAGTCTTCGAGGGCTGCCTGAAACCAAACCATCATGCATGCTCTGATTGCAACAGAGGGTGAGAATTGTACTCGACATAATCCACGCACCGGCCAGCTTGATACTGGAGCGCCCAATGTATCAAAAAAAATGATACCTTTACTTGAATAAACATCAGATGACCCGGAGGAAGCGTAGAAGCACAGATATGGCGCGTATCTGGACAGCAGCGATCACAACCCGGGTCGTGACATTGCAATCTGTTTATGAACTGCTCGGATTCAACTGAGATGCACAAATTTATGTACCAGGTGAGGCTGATTTGGATTAACTGATCACAAACACTACAAGAACATGGCTTCCTCTGGGTCACTATGGCATAATAACGGTTAGTCATCAGCGCGAACCGTGGATAAGAAGAGTTCCCACCACCAGTATAGGGAACCTGATCACTTTGGTCCCGGTGTAGGTCCGGAGTTTCAATTAAACCCCTAATTTAGTATTAGATGGGAGACCAGGCGACTAACAAATGAAACACCCGTTCTGTGTACTTCAACTGGATGTGCAGCACGAGAACTTCTCCAGGATTTAGTTGGGCCGATTTTCAGGGTACCGAAAGATTTACCCTCAAAAACCACAATTCTTAAACGGACATCAAACAACTAGTAAACAGTAAAGGATTTAGATGAAAACAGCCATGACAAACTGACCTGTAACTGTTCGCTAGACAGTAAGCACGGTGGTCTCGGGCGCCAGGCGAACGTGCGCAGTCCATTCAGGGGCATTTTGAACAGGCAACGTCCAACACAATTCCAGAACCAAATACCGTTATCGTTCTTCTGATAGAAGCTACTAACCACAGTGGCGAGGTAGCGCCCTGTGGGGTCCCAGTGAATTTCGCTCACCATAGGATGATCTCCTTTTGCCAGTGATTGAGCTTCGTTGGCCGAAATGAACTCCAAGTACCCGTCGGCACTACAGTGAAGCAATAACACGTTTGTAAATAACGAAAGAGGTGGACATTCGTGAACTGTCAAGCGGTCACAATAAGATTGTTATTGAATAATACCTGGGAAAGAGAGGATATACTGTTCAGTGCAGAAGAGAACGCCAAAAAGGCCTCCCTTTTTACGATACCTTTCACAGCAAGATGTGAGTAGCATTCTTCACTTCTAATGACATCTAGGCTGTAAAACGCCATTCGTATTAACCCCTCTGGAATGAGAGAAGATCGCACCACAAACGATGTACCTGTATTTGTGACGGAAAAGCAATTTAGACAAGACAAGACTCAAGAAACATTCAGCCCAAGTTTACGCTCAATCGCGTATAAGAATCCCCCCAATGATAACAACCAAAATATACGATCACAAGTGATTCTTCGGTGTAATGATACTATAAACTGTCCATTGAGCTTAATGTAGGAAACCATTGGTTCGCGTAAAATTCAGGATAACAAACCAATGGATCACCGAACTGGAGACTATGATACAATATCATTCCAAGAACCACAGGCTGACCATCAGTGCCAGTCACATGATTTCACACGTAATTGACTCAATACTACTTACGCCACCATAGTAAGGTCGATCGCCATAGTAACGTTCAAATAAGTAAGCCACCGTGAAAAGTAATGACAATTTCTCACCAACTGGACGCAGTTAGAATTCAGAAAAATTCAGAAATATGATATCTTTGACTCGGACCAACCAACGGCTCCTCAGTTATGGGACTTTCAAAAGTAAGGAGTATTACGAGCTAAATGAAATCGACTTCGTACGTCAAATCACGACGTTCCATCCATATAGCATAAGATATATCGCGTTCACTGTGAACTTGCCGGTGAGATTTAAACCAAACGCTGATAATTTAGCGGAATATACTCATGTGAACACCGATTAGGTTTTCACGGGAGACCAAACTGAGTCTCTCGTTAATGATGTTCTGTCTAAAGTGCGTTCACACACATTAGATGCACTTATGAACCGTAAAAAATATCACAAAATGATGGATAGAGTTGAAGTTAGGGTAAAACTAGAAGGCGGAATCAGAAATGGAGTTTTGGTTGAACCAACTGAGCAACCGAGGTTTCGGTAAGCGGCAGAGACAGAGAGAGAGAGAGAGTATTCTGGACGCCTGCATCCGAGTCAAGTGACACTATGGACATCGGGTTAGATAAATAGATCGTCATTCATGTAGCTGTGTGGACAGGCTGCTTCATGGGTCCCAAAGCGAAGGAAGAGAGTTAAACAGATGGTTCCTACGAGGGCATTGCACGGGACTGGCTACCCCGCAGGTGAGCAGTACCTTGCGCGAGTTTTGTCCAGAATTTCAAAAATCACTTTGTACGCCGTCTGCTGTTGCTTTGAAGTCGGGGTTTAGCCATCTCCCCTAAAGAGATGACCATAGGTCTGTCAATGATTGAGGTATGAATACACATTCTGGTGGAGGACAAGAGTAGGCGTTGGGTGGGACTCCGTCAGCAAAGACTACATGAGCAGCAAGTGATTCGGAAGCACTTCCAGAAAAGCATCGGGGGGTCAGGCCAGGCCAGTTAAACCACAGTCCCATTCCAGAACACGCTGAGGCATTATGAAGTCAGTACATGGATGCCGAAGAGCGGAATCGTATTCACTAGTCTGCGCATCGTGTGCTGTTGAGAAGAAGCATCATCGGGTCGATTAGACGACCTGCGGGTCTTTGACCAGCGACGCCTCAGATCCATTGGGAGTGTGGGATGGCGCTAAGGAATCCACAGTGATCTGTTACCAAAATGGGTGTTCTTTACATCAGGATGGTATCTAGCAACAAAACTGCCGTGATTTGATCATGGGCTTAGCATGCCGAGTTAGCATCTATCAGGAAAGGTTCCGTTTCCGAACCGAGTTCGACGCGTCATAAGCGGAAAGACGGATGTGTGAAAGGTTTTACGAGAATCTGGGTGTGGTGAGTGTGGCCAGGGACGCACCTCCCTAAGCTTGACCACAGACCGTGCAGGATAGAACAACAAATGGCAGCTGATAGCATCCATGATGTCAGTTTATATCCAGGTCGTTTGCCCTAATTTTACAGTTCCGGATATATTGCACGTCTGTACTAGTGCTAGCACCCTTCTTTTATTTTGTCTTCTCTATAAATCAAGACTGTCTTTATGGAAATTGATACCAAAGAACCCGGATTCCAACGCTGATGTTCCCATCAATGACAGGAACCACAGCTAATTAGAGGTGAAACAGTCTTTCCCATTAGTTCGTTTACCTGCTTCCATTCCTTGAGGGCAACAGATGCGTGCGTTTCCGTCGTGTCGTACCATTATCTCTCTTTGTAGTACAAGTGGCTGTCTCTCTTCCTACAGTAACGGGGTACATTGAATAAATGGTTTACATTAGCCGACGTACATTCCAACTATAAACAGCACCAGCATGCTAACAAACACTATGTACCGTACTTAATGCAATAGCGTACCTCTTCAAGCTAGCTACAACCAGTAGACCACCTCTGGGTGCCCAACGAAGTTCATTGTTTCGTGCGGCCGGAACTTCAATCACAGTCACTTCACGTATACTACTTCCGCGAGGGACATCATAGATGGCTACCGAGAGCTTTCCGCTGGCCACGGTTTGAAGGAAGGCGAAACGGGTACCGTGTGGTTCCCACTGGAAGCAGGTGATTGAGGCTTTGACTCCAAGCTGATCCACTGGGTAGAGCTTTTCTCGCATACGTACAATCTCCAAGTTCATATAAGTACCCTTGAGATGGGATTGAGAAGAAAGATAGCACAGGTAAGTTGCATTTAAATATCAATGACGTAGGGAAACAATAGATCTATGGTGGGTAGACACCAAGGATATAATAAATAATCGTTCAGCTGTAGAACCCTTTCGGTGGCTAGCTGTCGTGCCACACGAAGGCTGGGATACTGACAGGTTGCCCAAGCCTAGACAGGGGAAGTCGACAGCCAGAGGTCGGGTTCGAACCACGGACCTTGCGGTCAGTAAATTCGCGCTCTAACCACATGGGCTAACTCGCCCCCCCCCCCCATAATCGTTCAGCTGTAGCACCCTTTCGGTGCCTAGCTGCCGTGCCACACGAAGGAGACACGAGGATGGGACACTGTCAGGTTATCCAAGCCTAGAAAGGGGAAGTCGAGAGCCAGAGGTCAGGTTCGAACCACGGACCTTCCGGTCAGTAAATTCGCGCTCTGACCACTTGGGCTAACTCGCCCCCACCACCAAGGAAATCCTTCAAATAGTAATCCCTCCCCGGGAAGAAGACTACTATGGAAAGACAGACCATTGGTCTCGCGTTTGGCGGACGGTGGGATCCTATGGCAGTCGTGTATAGGTTCAAACATCGGCACACCATGAAAAAATTGCAAACAATAAACACAAAAGCTACCAGTAACAGTCCTTTAAAACAAAACACACTTTTCGAGAAATACACTCATTTGCAAATCAATTTGGTTTTCACGATCGTAATCTCTCCGAAGGAAGACGACTACGGAAAGACAGGTTACTGGTCTCGCACTGGGTGAAGGGTGGGATACTACGATTGTCACGTATAGGTTCAAACATCGGTACACCATGGGAAACTTGCAAACAGTAAACACAGAAGATACCAGTAACTGTCTTTTAAAAAACAAGGCACTTGCAATTGGTTGGGTTGTCTCCTCATGTTAAATGTAACATAACTCATACTATATTCCTAATTTAAACTTAAGTTCTGGTTATCACTTCACGGAGAACTGCTCAAATTACTTGGTGGCCTGAGAAGAGCTTGTTAGTTTCATCTGAGGGTCCCTCCAGAAACTGCTCAACATGGGTCCTAAAGCAGGAAGCTTTGAAAACAACCACCGGAGTTGAGTAAAACTCAGTTCCCTCTGCTTACCGCACTGACTGTTGATTCGAATTGAGGGGGTAGGTTATTTAACTCTCAGCCGTTCCACAGCAGGGTTTCGTACAAAGGCAACAAAAACACAATGAGGACAGATGACGTACTACGTATTTGACTTGCTTCTCGTTGTCTACTTTTTTCTTGGCACAGCGGAGAACCTGAACGGCCAGAAAATCACCTTGTTCGTGCCAGCAAAGACCGATCTCGGCGACCGAAAAAAGGTTTTTTGTACACAGCTCCTCCCGACTGGGCACTTCCATTAGAACAACCCTGAAAAACAACAAAGGACACTTGAACCTGGTTCTCCGGTGGACGACTATACCAAACCGTCCAAAAAAAATCGTTTCCAAAACCAATTTGTCCCCTCACCATTCGACGTCAAACGCCACTCCAGCGGGAGCCCTTTTCGATGGAACACAATAGCAACACAACACACGGTTTGCTACCATCTGATCTCCTTCTATCAGCGAACGAAGTTGACGCAGCCGGAACTGACGCATCAACAATACATGGTTTACAACTATGGAAGAGTCACATTAGAAAACAGCGTACTTGCCCGTTCAACTCAATGTTGGAGAGTTGAAGAGCAATGCTCATGAACGCATCCGATCATCCGTGAGAGGAACAAGCACGATACATTAACTTACCTTGCAGGAGTGTTATCAGATTCGGGAACCCAATAAGCGAGTATATTTTCAGCCGGCGACCAAGAGAAGTCCCGAATGTTGCCACCCAATCGCTTCTTGTCCAAAAGACGGAATGTATTGGTCTCATAGATTACAATACAACCATCACGTAGGCAAGCAAAATAGGCATCATTGTGGGACCACTTGAACATGGGGTGTGCCTCGATGGGGATGGAAAATTCGCGACGACTCATGCATCTACGAACGTCCCAGAAAATCACATCAGCCATGGGTCGATCCCATTCGTCCATCTGAGCGGAAGCACTGGGACTGAGGGAGATCATGAAACTAGAGAAGAGAGCAAGAAGAGTTGTCTAAGTTGGTCGTCCACGTTAGGTCATACCCTCATATAATAAAGTAATATCAGTGAAGGAAACTGATCACAACGAGTACGGAGAGGACCCACTGTGAAAATTCGAACGCGGCCTTCAGATGGGTATAAGGGCTATGTTGCCCATAGAAGGGATACCCTTTGGGCTCAGAAGAATATCCGATGGTACACCGAAGAACTTGAATTAAACTGCGCCGCAGATATTTCGCTCTCACTTCCTTACATCCAGTTTCACGATTAAATCTCTTAAAAGGATTGTAATAGTATTCCTAAATTAGTCTACCGGAATAATGGTTGCCCGGACTATATAGGGAAGTGGTAGGTAGTTCGCGCCACCGCCGTAACACCATCCAAGTTACAGCTGCCTTACGTGGTTTGCTATCCCAAGCCCATGATTTGGGTTGCCGGCTTCCTCACCTATCATACAAATATTTAGGAAAAACGAAATGTCCACTTTTCTTGAAGGAACACACTAACCACGAGGCTGTTTCGACACCTCACAACCGATTTCATCCTCACTGAGGCTCATCAGGCAGGTGCAGTCCTCGATTTTCCGTCAAATTGACATTCTACTTGAACTCAAAATGGTACACAGTTGGTGAAACACACTCAATTGTAAATTAAATTGGTCGAATCGGGGACAACCGAATTCCAGCTGAATTACTTTTCTAGGTTACTCACCTTCCTACATTCCAATAATCAAGTTTTAACCTTAACTGGAGCAACTATCCTTGCCTTCCCCATTCCATCGATTCAGTTCCCCACAAAAGTTCAAATTTTTGGGTAATGGTGACCTTATTTGCTTTCAGTTCCCGAGTTGTGCTCGTCGCTGCTTACGTTTCAAGCTGGAGTTTGTGTTCCACATTTCCTCCCATTTGTATTACAGCGCAAACCTCATTTGACACTTCTATGCCATAGTTCCAGTCTATGTGGCGCAGATGATATCTCCTAAAAATAAAAACAACTCTGTTATGTCCGTCGGTTACGTGACGGCAACCACGCACCACCAGCAGCACAACCACCAACCCACCGCTACGCACCATATTTAGGAAAAACGAAATGTCCACTTTTCTTGAAGGAACACACTAACCACGAGGCTGTTTCGACACCTCACAACCGATTTCATCCTCACTGAGGCTCATCAGGCAGGTGCAGTCCTCGATTTTCCGTCAAATTGACATTCTACTTGAACTCAAAATGGTACACAGTTGGTGAAACACACTCAATTGTAAATTAAATTGGTCGAATCGGGGACAACCGAATTCCAGCTGAATTACTTTTCTAGGTTACTCACCTTCCTACATTCCAATAATCAAGTTTTAACCTTAACTGGAGCAACTATCCTTGCCTTCCCCATTCCATCCATTCAGTTCCTCACAAAAATCCAAACTTTTGGGTGATGGTGACCTCATTTGCTTTCAGTTCCCGAGTTGTGTTCGTCGCTACTTACGTTTTCAGGTGGAGTCTGTGTTCTACATTTTCTCCCATTTGCATTTCCGTGCAAGCCTCGTTTGACACTTCTGTGCCATAGTTCCAGTCTATGTGGCGCAGATGATATCTCCTAAAAATAAAAACAACTCTGTTGTGTCCGTCGGTTACGTGACGGCAACCACGCACCACCAGCAGCACAACCACCAACCCACCGCTACGCACCCTTACGTTCCCCAATAACGCACTGATGATGTCACCTCGATTGGTGATGAAACGTTTGCAATCAAACTGCACAACTCAGCGAACGAGCCAACGACCATCTACGCTACCTGAGCTACCGACATTTTCCAATACAGAACCATGCACCACAAATTTTCCCTTTATTGAATGGTAACTGTGAAGCAGTCAGACATCACCGCGTGCATGCTCATGAGGCGCACATCAACTCAACAGCCTTTAAGACAGTTTTTGTGACCACTCCACCTGCTCCACTCCAATTGGTTCTTTCGATCATTGTCCATTCTGCCCACCCCTCAGTGTTCCTTATGGCGTCACTCTTGCGCTGACCGGGATGTAATGCGTCAGTTCTTTTCTTCTTACTCCTGAGATACTTGTATTTCCAGTAATGACTAAACATCTCTAAACAACACTATTGATTTTAGTTTCAACGAATACCAGTCTACACCTCGTTTCTCCGAACCTATCTCTGAATGAATTAATCATGTCTGTCTTTGCGCAACGTGTAAGGAATCGAATGTGTAAACGCTGGCGAAAGCACCTCTCTGCCTCAACGCACTCTATGCCCTATCATCAATAAAACATCATCAACAAGGCATCTATCCGGTGTGCCCGATGGGATTCGACCCTTCTGGAGCCTTACAATAGTCGGTAGTGCTTGATTTCGATGAAATCAGTAAATCCCGGCCAAGCAACATAGCTGAAACATGTATTTACCATCTTACGCCTAAGTAAACCATACCCCTACCATCATATATTCCATTGTGTCTATCAACTTTCACTCATCTGACCCCAACAGCCGTTACAACCAGGCTGGGAACGTATCTCACTCCTTTTCCTCTGAGTTTGCGCTACAAAGTTCTAGAGTCCATCTAGGCCGAAAAGGTTCTTCGTGCCTCCCGAGCGACCACCAGTAGGAACTCTATTCTCTGTTCTTCTACCAGTGGCCTGTGGACCTATATTCCTCACATGTGATCACCTGCTCCAGACACCTTTCGTGAAGCTAAGCCAGTTCATCTAAACACTTCAAAAACTTTCGGCCAAAACGTGATCTCTTTGGCTAAAGTAACCATGTACGGCCTGCACTCTGGTCTGATCAGTTTGACTGGAAACTTGACGAATCTATCCCTATGAGTTCGCCTAGATGGGGCTGTTTCTCAGACCCGCAGTATCAATGCTGGAGTTCCCCAAGGTTGCGTTCTATGTCCTATTCTTTTTCCACTATTAACAACTAACTCAATTTGATCTGTCTCTAGTTCTATCTGGGCATTCGTTGAAGACGTTACCCTCCAAAAAACTACTTACATACCTCGGCGATCAGCCTCATCTCAGTTACGCGATAAAACCCTGCAGATTATTATTATGTTGAACACTAAACTCACGACACAGTCAGTGCCAACCCTTTGAAATTCCTATATCTCTTCCTATATTTTCGGCGTTTCACTCGCAACCACATTCTATCCACCAACTCTGGCCCTAAGCCGTAATCTCCTGGTTGTTTTCTTCATCTGTTGCGACCCGGTTCACCGGAAAGATCGAAGTTCTATTCCGTTCCAGGAATTCTTTCCCCCACCCTAGACTGGTCGTGAGAATTAATGTTGCCATATCAGGGGTAGAGCCTTTTATACTTACTTTCACTTCTGGATGAATGCCAACCGAGATCTGGGTGCTTCATCGCTTCCCCTACTCTGATCAGCAACTTTCAACCTTTTTACTACCGTCGACACGTAAAACGGATTTTTTTTTACCCTCCAAAAAACTACTTATATACCTCGGCGATCAGCCTCATCTCAGTTACGCGATAAAATCCTGCAGATTATTATTATGTTGAACACTAAACTCGTTATTACTCACGACACAGTGACATCCAACCCTTTGAAATTCCTACATCTCTTCCTATATTTTCGGCGTTTCACCCGCAACCACATTCTATCCATCAACTCTGGCCCTAAGCCGTAATCTCCTGATTGTTTTCTTCATCTGTTGCGACCCGGTTCACCGGAAAGATCGAAGTTCTATTCCGTTCCAGGAATTCTTTCCCCCACCCTAGACTGGTCGTGAGAATTAATGTTGCCATATCAGGGGTAGAGCCTTTTATACTTACTTTCACTTCTGGATGAATGCAAACCGAGATCTGGGTGCTTCATCGCTTCCCCTACTCTGATCAGCAACTTTCAACCTTTTTACTACCGTCGACACGTAAAACGGATTTTTTTGACCTATCGCCAATACATCGTTCCCCTAAACTCCCGCTCTATGTTGCCTTACTCTCCAAGTCATTAGATCATGCAACTAGCCTCTTCAATTCTAGTTATCTGTACCATGTGCAAATACTACGCTGGCGCGAAGACCTTCATCCTTAGTTCACCCGCCCCCTCCCCGAATCGTATGGCCTTGGAACACTACTCCACTCTCTGACTTCTCGCTTCCTAGAATATTTAGACACTCAAAACGAATTATCGCTTACCTGTAGGGTCCCAAATGACAATCTGCTATGCATGATTAAGCGTTTCTCACGTCTTCAAGTGCCTACAAGATATCTCCAAATGTGGTTTCCCTGCTACTACTATTACTACTTCTACTAAATGTAGAAATAAGCAAACACAGCTCCTCTCCAATGAGATCTATGATTTACTCTCAAAAATCTGGTTGGCTACATACGTATTTAATGGTGGAGGTACGGAAAACGCCTAGGAACAACCTCAAATAAATGTTTGGATGGGTTATAATGAAAAAAAAACACGACGTTCATATACTAGGTTCAATTGCTGAGCGTTTCGGCCATCTTCAGGGGTGGAATAATCAGAAGATCACTCGCGACTACCGAAACGTTAGGCCATGAAGTTCAGTGTTTATTTACACTGTTCTTCCTTTATGACGCGACCAAACTAAAATTTCCACACACCGCTCATTTTTCAACTTCATTCACATCTGATTCGGAGCGCATATTCTAAGACACCAAGCTATACTTCCAAACTTGTTGACCAGGATTTCCTTCACTAGATTTCAGAATTTAACACAGCTTGGGATAGCAAAGGCCTGTCTGGCCACTGATTCACTCTGAGCATTCTCACTAAGGTGTGATTCAGAAAACAGAACATCTCAGGACAATCCGAAGGCAAAAGTCATCTCATTGTCTATTTCACTGGACTGCGTGGAAAGCAAGGTTAAGCGATCTGGAATAACCACGGTGCCATTCTTCAGAAGTGAAAAGTTGCCTTAAACAGGTCCCACGTAGGAATACAGTGTCTGTTGAGCAACACACTAGATTTGTCTTACACGAATAAAATGCTAGCATGAAATGAGAAAATTTTATCTCCCAGCTACGACACTTAGTCAACAGCTGCCAGGGTATCCAAGGAAGGGACAAGAGAAATGATCGGCAATGTCGAAACATGGGTAGCACGAGTGTGTTCAGTCTTGCTGGACTTGGCGGCTGACTCGCGAAAATGTCAACGCGCCCAAAGCAAACCGGATTTCGAAAATACAGGATTAAAGAGACCCAAGATACACCGACGTTGTTCATAGTTAGAGCCCATGGGAAACCCAGAAACGTATGATCTGCATTCACACAAACATGGTACGGATTTCCCATTTCGCGATTTTTGTAACAGAAAGAATGATATCTGCTGAGGCATGAGATCCTCGGTCATAATACATAAAATGAGATGATCAGAATTGGCTTACTTTTCCATCGGTGAGAATTCAATCATTTTCACTCCTGGATGAGGAAACCGACCAACACGTTGAAACTCTTCACCACCCCACAGGATCACTCCTTGTTGATGCATCGTGGCAAGATACGTTCCTCGAGGGGACCATCGCATCCAACCATCTGTCCATCGCTCACGCTTCTCCACAAGTGAGGGTTCGACTGCATTGTGCCAAAACACCGCCCCAATTTCGCCATCATTATGAACCACAACAAACTGGTCCCGGCAAAATTCGTTCAAAAGCCAACTTTTCAAGTTGCCCTAAATGAGATGAAATAATGATTCTGTCGTGCTAAAGGCATCAGTGAACTTACGAAATCTTTATATGGTTGTTTGACAGGGGGTTTCCATTCAGTGGCGACATTCGTTAATCGTTCGTATTCAGCCAACAAATTGACGTGAAATGTATGGCTCTTGTCCAATGGGGTGTTGTTCATCGCTCGAACGGCCTGAGACGCTGATTTTCCATTATCGTATGTGATAAACAGGTAGCCTTTCGTTTGCCTCTCTTCATCTTGTGGGAAGTCGTGTTCAGTGATTGTTCCAAATTTGGAAAACTTTTCCAACAAAAACTTCTTTAGAAGATCGTACTTCGCAGGACCCACAACGGGGCAGCCGTCAACAATTATGGTCGATCCCAGGTGATCTTCGACTTCCGGCTTCTGGGCTAGTATGTCTGCAATTATTTCTACGAAGAAAAAAAGGAAAACAGTTGAAAACTATGGAATAACTATCGGAATTCTGAGGCTAAACCATAAAACAATGGGAAAAAAGCAAATACATGTTTTGGCGACATATATGGACCGATACCACATCACCAAGTGCTTCGTACACAAACGCTATTGCGCTTTAACCCTAGTGGGTAGTCGTAAAATGCCCCTAAACAAGAAATCAACAGTATGTGAGGACCCATACTGCTCACCCATGACAGGTAAAACCTCTTTGACTACGAAATTTAAGTTCTGGACTATCACAAACCCATGTTAGTAGTTGACTTTAATCGTCTCCTGAACAGATGTGTGTCGTGATATTAACAGATTCGTCCCCAAAGTTTGCTAAACACAAGGGCTTATTACACCGTTTTGCCACATATGGACCTTATAGATCTCATTTGCTAAGCAGGCATCTAATCCCAGCAGGACAGGATGAAGGACCACGTCATGTCGAATTCCTTGGCTTCCATCTTTATCCTGGTTGTCCCTTAGGCTCTTACACCTGCATGATAAGATGAGCAATTTGTTAGTTCTTCGCTCTCATAGGTAGCATGCTCTTAATTGGGTTTTGATTGCACCATATCTACCAGTGTCCGTCTCTCTCTCCTCTCTCCCTCAGAGATGACCATCTTTGGCCGGTCCCTTAAAATCTCTACTTAACTTTAAGACCCCAGAGGGGCTAACCCTCAAGGATCGAGGTGCAGCTGAGGCAGAATAACAAGGCTCCTGGTGCGTGACCACATTATGGTTCAATAATTAATCATCATCAAGCTTCGCAGCGGACCCCATTGGTACAGAGCTATGAACTTCCAAGACAAACTGGCTGTAATCCAGTTAATTTCCCTAGCGTCGAAAAGATCCAATGAATTCACAACTCGAAATGTTGTTGGCCCGCAGGCGCAAGAGTAATGAATGACAGAAATAATCATTCCGCCGTAAAAATATTCGGTGCCTCGCTAATACGCCATCCAAATGAAACACGAGAACTGAGGTACTGTCAGGCTATCCACAGCAAGACATGGGAAATCGAACTGAGGTTGTGTTCAAGCCATGGACTTTCGATCAATAAGTTTCCGCCATAACCACCGAGCTACCTTAAGGCCCATGAGTGCATAAAAAGGCAGTGCTGTTCCTGTTAACTGTGATCAACTCCGAATCGAGCATACCTTAAAAAACAAATTAAAACATCACGCAAAATGAGGTTCATGACTGTTGGACTGAGAATTCGAAACTCTCAAAAGATAGTCAATTTCGAGGACTAACTGATAACTAGACTAGAATTACCGTTCTCGCAGAAGTCAGTTGAGAATTCATCGTAGACTATTCAAGTTGATTCAAACATTGGAACCTGATCAAACAACCTTTTATGAGTGCGAGAATCGTTATGTTATGCGCTCGTGCATTATCTGACGTGCATGTGTTGGATGATAGTTTCCATCTGAGAAGAAATCTGGAAGCCTTCTTCGGTCAAACACCGCAGGTGATTCCAACAGAGCAAACTGTTCGAAGGGAGGGTCAGAAGATGCACGAAGCTGTGAAGAGTATTATTGGACTATGGATTGGCGAATGCTGACAAACCCGAGCTTATGTATTTGCGCAGGCCTTGTGTATCCAGTGAAGGAAACACTCGGATTCAGCTATCCGAACAATAACAAAACGCTTCATTGAGATGAGTTCCATGGTAAGGAAAATCTCCAACCATCAACACACGGTGACAACATCGCAACTGAAGGTATACGTCAGACTGATGAGTGGATGCTCACAAGCGCCAAAAGATTACTCAACAGATGGTAAACACCACAAACTGGACCCAGCAGCCAACCATCACCCAGCGTTCGCCGAATGCCGGTTGCCAATGTAGCATCCATAAGGCGTCAGAATTACCAGAATGTTGTCGCGGAACACATTTTATATAGGACACAGTACTAGTGCACTTGATCTGATTTTAGGCGTTAATACACGTTGTGCATCTTTGGTAGTTGATTTTGACGGGAAGGCTAGCTTGGGAGGTTCGGACCGAGAACTAAGCTGATGCAAATACCCGTCATTACACTAGGACTGAGACGGTAGAGTCACGTTCGAAACATGGTTTAGCATCTTCCAGAACCTATTTCGGGTTCGGACCACTAAGCTGATGCAAATACCCGTCATTACACTAGGACTGAGACGGTAGAGTCACGTTCGAAACATGGTTTAGCATCTTCCTTCCACTATTTCGAGTCGATCTAGCTGCGCAGAGCGATGCATGCAATCATCATAATCATCACCATCATCAAAGACAGCAATATCAGTGTTGGCACTGATGCTTCACTGCCGTACAACCATAAGGTTCGCCTATATAT